TTTTTTTAACACATATATGAAATTGGCACAAAACAAGTATTTTAGGACAACTGTTACTCTTATTATTTGACTGCAGTTCACAATCACATATAATTGTGCGATTCTTCGGTATAACTTGCACACTTCCCTATAACGAGAGATAACTTCTTTTTTAAATGAATTGTGATAACATAAGGCCCCACCGCTTTAGCTAATCGCAAAACAGTAACACTTACAAGAGATATTTATAACTGTGGTTTCCTTTCATATATCGGGGCTTTGAAAATAAAACATTGAAAAATAATGTAGTTAGGTTTAAGGGAGAAGTATTATAAAACCCATCTATTTATGTATAGATTATAATCAAATGTTTGACAAGATTTAAAAATTACTAATGCACCTTATAACTTATAAGAAATGGGGTTTGTCACAATTTTGGCTACAGTGCTATGTCTATAATATAAAACAATGGTCTGAATACGGCTTGGTGTGATATTCTTGACCCATGAGTCACTTAATTTTTTAGATAGGAGCAAAAGTAGTTATATAAGGCTATATAAAGCCTTCAATCTATTTATTAATTATTAATAATAATAAAAAGAGTGTGGCTTTTCAAGTTTGAGTGGCTCAAGTATCATATGGTACGATATTCTTGCAATATGATACGAAATATTTAGGACATACTCAAAAGTTTTGTTATTATGCTTTTTGAATACACAGTTCTAACTACTAATATTGAAAATGGAAACAATATAACCAATTTTTCGCAAGCCAAGTGTATGACACTTGTGATATCTTTGAAATACAAGATATTTATTCGTAATAATTTGGGCACGAACACAAATGTCCTTTGGTATGATTTTCTTGATATATGACATAAAATATTTTTGATACAGACAAAAATTTTAGCACTACGTTCTATGAAGTATTTTACTTTTAACAAGCCTTGGAAAGTAAGACAGGATATGATATGATATCTTTGAAATATAAGACATTTATTCCTAATATTGTGGACATGGCCAGAAAACGTTATAGTATGTAGTATGAATAATTCCGACGGTTAGTATTGAAAACATATGGTATATCATAATAACAGTTCAGTTTCCATAAACCAGAGATGATTTAGAAACTAAATATTCAGTATTCAGTCGTATATCCTCAAAATAATTTACTGATTATAGGGTATGCATTTTTTTGAAAAGTACTAAGGAGAAGAGTTATGAGAGAGAGAAGATTTATGAAGATTACTAGATATCTAGATACCTTTGTATTGGACTAGAGGTGACCTAGTAAAATGGTTATATATATTAAAGTGTTTTTTTACTACACTTTATGGCATTGAGTTCAAAATGATTGAAATGCTTTAAAAATTTACGTTATATAAAACTGTGTTTTTACTCCTTGATGAAAATCAAAGGGAGATGGGGAGGTTGATAATAACAAGGCTTGGAAATCTTAATAAGAATAGAAAGTAATTATGAATATTAAGTCAAACTTTTACCAAGGTTCAGATATCTTGTCACTTTTTTGGTATTGAGCTACAAATAAGATGAAAATATATTTGTGTGTACCGTAAGACAGTTTAATCATTGGATGACTATATATTTTCGGATTCTTAAATTTTTTAAATTTTTTTTATTACATTTTTTTTTAAAATTTTATTTTTATTTATTAAATTTTTTTTAAAATTTTATTTTTTTTTATAAAATTTTTTTTAAAATTTTATTTTCATTAATTAAAAACTTAGTTTTCTTTTCGTTTGAGCACTTCATGAATCCGAAGGTGTGTAGTCATCTATTGACTAAACTGTCTTACGGTATACACAAATCTAACTTCATCTTATTTGTGGCTCCATTCAAGGGCCTACCGTGTAATGCATTATTTTATGCTTAATACAATATATCAATTTACTTTCCATTTGTTCATTTTTCGGAAGGTTTAAAAATGGAACTAATAGATTATATCAGAATTAATGAAATCAAAAATTGAAAATCATCATAAAAGTAAATCATTTTTAAAAAAATACAAAGCTGAAGCTATAACACAGCCAATCAACCACAACGAAAAAACACAAACAACATACACAAATTATTGAACAAAATGAAAATACAAACAACAAAGAAACCAAAAAAAAAAGTAAAACCAAAAACAAATTAAATTGTAGCACAAATGAAGGTTAAACATTTACGCCCATATAAGACATTGTGGAATGTCTGCGATATGCAGACGCTGGACCAAGCAGTACTGATGGCGGCGGTGCACTCAAAGTTTCGCAAACAGAAAGACGTTTACTTGCGCGCAGTTTGCGATGTGGCGGTTGCAATAGTTGTTGTTGCTGTTGAAGCTGTTGGTGTAGTTGAAATGGCCCTTGTTGTTGTTGCTGTTGTGGTAATTGTTGCTGGTATTCATTTCCCATCCAAAGCAACTTTATTTGTTTTTTTTTGTTTTGGTTTGTTTTTTGATTTTTGCGAAATTAAAAAAGCAAACATAAATGTGCGTAATTATGTGTACCATTAAGCACGCACACATACAAACATTTAAGGATATTCCACAGTCGTTGTGTGAGCGTGTATTTTTTAATGTGAGTGTGTATGTGTTTGTTCACATAAGTGTGATTTTATGCGTTCAATGTTCAATGTGCGTATGAGTAATTTTTATTTATTGCATTTTGTCGTAATTGTTTTTTTGCAATATTTTTTGTTTTTTATTTAATGTTTAATTTTTAATTAATTTTATGTTTATTAATAATTAAATGTTTGCAATTGCAAGTGTTTTTAATGACGAAAAGGAAAAAAGAAAAATACACAACATTGTAAACAAGAAGAGCAGAATAAAAGAGAAATTTACAATTTATAAACACACATAAAAATATATATATATATATATGTATATCGTTATGTAATCCTATGTATATACAAACACTTACTTAAATTATTTGTAAATATTTTCGTTAACACTGAAACAACCAATTCAATTAGGCTACACAGCCGTTAAAGGAAGACTTTCTGTGAGTAGCGAATTAAAACAGTTATTTTATCAATTTTTATTTATTGGGAAAAGTAATAAATATAATTATTAATTTTTTCCTAGGTTTTGTTATTGTTTAATGTCAGATAAGTTGGTACAAATTCACATTAAAATATATAGTAATCTCATATGGTATGTATCTATTGTAGCGTATTGTGATAAGTTTAATGTTAAGAAAGTTCGATAGAAAAACATAGAAATTTTTATTTTCCATTAAGTTATAAAACTTGTGTTAAGAAATCTTTGTTAAAAAAATTATGTTAAAAAACTTAACTCTCCTCGAGGGACGCTGTAACCACTAGAGGACGCGTCGCAAGGAGCGGATAGCGCATGCCTTTCCCGTTATCGAGTGGTAGGAGGGAAATAAAATACCTCCTGCACACCAAACAGTCGGAAAAAGGTCACTTCCTTAAAAACCCCTACCCGCAAATTACCCACTCGATATTTTGAGGTCGTAGATTGCGGATAGAGTTGTATGCTTAAACGGTCTGTAAAAGAAATGGCAGAGGAACCGTAAATGGTCAACGGCGACGCTCGTATACCTTTAAAAGAAGTACTGTTACAATATTTTCTGTCGGTCTGGAAGCAACAATTGGCAGCCCCAACACCAGAATCGGACCTACTAATTAACGAAATCGCAATATATAATATGAGGCTTTATGCTCCTGCTAAGAGTTAAAGGATTCAATATAAGAAACTTAAGTTATAAAAGTTTTGTTTAGTTAAAGGTTAATAAAGTTAAATCGAAAACATAGAAATTTCTATGTTTTGGTAAGGTAATGAAAATTATATTAAAAAAACTATGTTCAGAGGTTATGAGAAAATTAGTAATGTTAAGAAAAGGATTTACATTTTAACAATTTTTGAATAAAATAATCAGTTGAAATCTAACTCAGTGTTATAACTGATTCAGCAATGTTTTGATCTAATTATTCAGAAATTATCAAAATTATTACAGTAACCAACGAATTTAATATTAATGAACGAAAATGTGGCATCAAAACGGGAAAAAAAGTACTATATGGATTAACGGTTTGACTCGTCATTTGAACCAACCAACCAGCTATGGCTATCTTTATATACATTCAGGTAGCAATAAAGATATTTAAACCTGGAATGCTCAAAACAAAGATTGTTATGAAATGGCACTTCTAATCCCAGAGCATTGAGCGTTACAAAGTTCCACTTGATATTGATATAGAGGGGAATGAAATGAGATAGCCAAAAGAGGTTCTATAATTAACATAATGAACATCAAAACAAATCCTGATGTGTGAACTATTTAGGAGCATAGAAGCGCCATTATTGTGATAAAAGATATATAGTAAATAGAATCTTCGAAATTATATAAAAAAAACAAGGCAACTTTTGTTACATATATTAGTTCCTGCCAATCTGTAGTTCATAACCTTACTGAAGTGCAAGGCATTATGGTCTAATGTTTCAACGGTAGTATATTCTAACAAACGGGTTGTGCAGGAGGTACTATAGTCGACGCAATTACAATATCTGATTTAAAACTGATTAAAACTGATTTATCATTAATCTGTCACAGATAATGAAGGTAGACTTATCGGATCTTCTTAACAATATTTAAACAGTGTTTCTCAAGCGTCAGTTCGGAAATCGATACGTGTCCGTGCTATTAGCTCAACCGGTATACCTAGTAACAATCTGTATTTTTGGCTTTAACGATATCAACTTTTTGATGTTGATTTTTTCAACAGATTATAAATATTTAGCTGGGCTTTGGAATCTCAATACGTTTTGGGTTGAGAAATAATTGTTTAGAAGACTCAAAAGTTTAATAAGGATAAGTCAGGAAGTTGTAAAGGAAGCAACGGTTGTTGTTGTTGTTATTATTGTGACCCGCAGAGATTTATTAAGCGATTAACTTGCATAGAATCTCAAAGATGAATACATATAGTACGATGTGGATAGGTGATGGTAGAGTGAGACAGGAGGGTATTGTAAGTAGTAAGAAGTAAGAATGGTTTGAAGATGGTTGCGAATTAAATTGAAGTTGAAGAAATTAAGACGAAGAAACTTGACCATTTCAATAAGGTAGGTCCAAAAATCGCTTAGACTCAACTTAGCGTGTGAATTAGGGAAAGCAATGCTTACTCTAGCTAACCTCTCCTTGTCACTTTTTCAGCAACAAAATGGAAAATAGACAAAGTACATGTGTTGGTAGTAAAAGGCAATTTCTTTACCCTACCTAATGTATAATAGCTGTTCTGGTCATAATTTGGATCATTAAATAGTTAATATTTATTAAAATTTATTAGCTAGTAATCTATTTAATAGATTATAATTAATTAGTGTATTACTACATCTGTAGTAATGTCTAATACCAAGGTCAAATCATATAAATATTTTATTGTTTACTTATTATAATTAATTACTTTTATATAAAATATAAAACTGATGTATGATAATTATAAACTGACCTATATTTGGTTGTTTCAGTGTTAAAAAAATTGTATTTAACTATACAAGTTTATATTGTATGTACAATTACTATTACCAATAATATTTATTACTTATTAATATATAATAATTGTTAAATATAAATTATATACAAAACAATTAATTAAAATATATACTTTAGCATTATATTTATTTTTTATAAATAAAACGTTGTATATGAATAAATGAATTAAATAATTTTTTATTTAATTATATAATTTATGAAAATTTTACTGTTCTTTTGATCGCTGTTGCTACTTTGTGATTCGGCAGTGGTGATTTCTTATGTTTAGAATATTTAATGGATGCATAGAGCCGCGTTTATAGTATATATGGTGGTAGTCGAAAGGAGGTTGGAATTTTTAAAATGTTCCAGTGGGTAGAGACATGAAAATAGTGAAAAAATATATGCAAAAAGAAACCAAGAAAATTAAACAAAAAGGCAAAAATAGTAATGAATAACCAAAATTTAAAATTTCAGAAATTTTGCTAATTTCGTAAATTCAATATAAATTATTTTAAACAAAAAATTATAATTGATATATAATCTTATAAGCATTAAGAGATATGTAGTTGTTGGCATAATAATTTAACAATTTTTAAAACAAATTAATATATATATCACGTAGTATGTTTATTCTGTCTATATGATTATTAAATTTTTATTATTATTAACAAACACATTTTTTGAAGAATTTAATAAAATTCGGCTGTATTTCACTGTTCAATACTATATATCATTACACCTAACTTATATTCAGTTAAGGTGTAACAAAAAATACACATAAAATATAATTAATAATAAACAAATAGCATTACTTTGTCTAATTTATTTATAACAAAATAAACACTCATTTAAAGTTATAATAATAATATACACATTTATCAAAGGATTTAATAGTATGTAGGGTGTTCGAAAAGGCTTGCGTATGAATTCTGAACATATCAAACATTGCCGAAATTATTTTTAAATATTTTTTATGGATCGAATATTTAAGTATCTCCTTGTGATGAAGTCTGTTGCAAATTTATTCCGATTTAGATTAATTTTACTAAGACTATGTTCTGTCATATGCAGTAGTAAAACATAAACATATTCGCGCCAGCTTAATTAGTGAAGACCATTCTGAAACACTTTACCAAAAAACAAAGAATGCATCAAATGATATTGCCTGATGGTCAATATCATTTAGAGAACCTGCTAAAGTTGTGGTAGTGGTGATACCACAACCATCCACATAACAGATAACATCAAAGAAATTCTAAATAAGTTTGCATGGGTTAGGATATGATTAGGTGAAGGAAGTGTTAAAGCAAGAGAGGACTGTTTTGGAAACGAGAGTAGATAGGGGATGAAAGAAGTTTTAATTAAAGCTAATCTTGGTCAAGGCGAAGTAACATTGCCACTTCAATGACATGCGAGCCAAATATTATTTGGACTCAAGTTGATATATGCATGTGGACATGAAAATAAATAGACAATATCATGGGGAGTAAAGCTGTGTTCTGAGTACTTTCGCATTATATATGTAATATATATCCTGACCACAATTAGACTAGTACAGATTTTACTGCATGGGGAAGGCAGTAAATATTTGCAAATATAAAGCTCTTGTTCCAACGAAACAATGTTTTGTTATTTTTCCGCAGTCGTTGCGGATAAAAGTCATGTACTGTTGTACCATTTCCTTTTTATACCAAATTTGGTTCCAATATGTGCCTAATTATTTCCGAAATTGATAGTGTAAAAATGTTCGTCATACGAGGGCAGTTTGATAAGTCAGTGAATTTTCCGCGCAGTTACTCCAAATGCAACAGTTCAGTCGTCAGCTATAATCTACCAGTTGGCAACTTTCTAATTTTCAGCAAGCTACGTCGTTCAGTCGGTGTTTGATAGCCGTTCAAAGTAGACAACCTCGTGAATTTTTACGAAAATGGAAAAAAGTGAATTTCGTGTGCTGATTACTGGCCGAAATCCACGAATTGGGATACGAACTGCTACCCCATCCAGCATATTCTCCAGATTTAGCCCTTTGCGACCATTTTCTCTTTACAAACCTAAAGAAATGGCTGGGCGGTAAGAGATTTGAGTCGAATGAAGAAGTCATTACCGAAACAAACGCGTATTTTGAGAGCTTTGAGAAAACCTGTTATTTGGAGGGAATAAGAAAATTAGAAAAACCATGGACTAAATGTATCGAACTAAAAGGTGATTATGTAGAAAAATAAAATGTTTATTTGCCTAAAAAAAATTTGTTTTATTCAAAAAGTCACTGACTTATCAAACCGCTCTCGTATCAAAGTTTTGTATTGCAAAGTTTTTGATACAATGCATAATTATGCGGAAATGAAGAAGTTGCAGCATACTTGAGATAAGGGTACCGAATAAAGAAGAGAATAAATCGAAAAATAAACAACAATAAGCAAAGAGTAATGTTTTTCTATGTTAGATACAGAACTTTACGAACACCCCACATACAATAATTACTTTAGTTAATAAGATTTTGTAATATATTTTTTAATTTAATTTATTTTATTAAACAATTACACTTAATATAATTTTTATTTGATTGTTTCAAAAATAATAGCTTTTAATATACAATATATGCGATACAACAATTAAAATTAAATTTATTTAATTTAACAACACTAATTTATTTACAATTTTTTAACTGGCTTTTAGTTTTAAATAATGACTCAATTATTATAATAAATCTCACATCAATTATATTTGCATAAGTATTTATTAAAACCCAAAAAAAAAAACAATACAAAAAAGCACAATAAAAATATTTATTTACAAATATCATAAAGGACTTACAAAACCACTGATTCATATGTTATATGTAAAAGCCAATATTTAAAAGCCAATATACAATTTTTTAATAAAACGTAAATGCATTAATGAGTATGCAAAATATTTTCTATAAATAATGTTAATTTAAAGGACATTGATTGTAATATAATAATAATATTCTATAATGAAATCAGTGTTCATGGAGATCGATTAAAATTAGTTTGATAAGAAAATAATTGCAAATTAAGCTTATTATATGCCAATTCAATCAAAACATATTTTTAAAATTTTATAACGCCATAATAAATGCAATTTACATAATGTATAAATGTAAACATGATAATTTAATTCAAAATGTTGAGTAAAATAATGATTTTAATAAATTATAATTAAAAAAAATTTACCTGTAAACTGGTGTAGCTGTTGTACTTTCTTTTGGTAAATGGAAAAGCGCTCTGATACTCATTCACATGTCTATGCCTTAAAAGCAAAGAACGCATCACCGCCGGCTTATCACTTGAGCTAATCAATTCATCTATAACCATCTAAAAATATTTCAATTGAAATAATATTGTTTTAATATACATCATACACACAGTAGCTTACGAGATATATATTTATTAATAAATATTATAAAAAAATATAATAAATTTTTTACTATCACTAACCTGCTCTACAACACGATAAGCAACAGCGGGCAAGTCCTTTTCATTTAAGTCAAGTAATACAACACCAGTCTCCAAGCAACGGCGTAAATTAAGCAAGGAGTGAAATGAGAGTGAGGCAACGTGTGGTTTACCCCAACGATCAGAACCTTCTTGTACATCTTCTTCATATTTGATCCAACGTGCTGTTTCTTTCCATTCACGATCTTCAGCAACACCGGTGAGTTCATTGAGTTGTACGAAAGTCTAAAAAATTTTTTCATTATATGATTTATTTTTACTTATATTTATATATATGTATGTATATATGGATATATATTTTACCTCATGTGGGCTATGATCGAAGGCCTTCTTGGTTTGTAAAGCAGCGACACTGATTTGTGGTAATTCACGCAATTTAATGGAATTGTGATGAATTTTGTGTCGCCGCAAAGCACGTGGATCATCTGAACGATGCGACCTCAACTCGTTGAGATCAGCCTCCTATTTTTAATCAATAAAAAAAATCGATTTTAATATATATATATAAAAGGTTTTACGTAAGTATGATATAATAAGATTTAAAATATGTCAGAATTTGTTAAGACACCTTACAGTATTTTTAAACTATATAGTATACTATACTGTCACATTAAACATTATGTTTACAATCATACTGTTTTCTTAATGAACACCGATTACGGATTATAAACATGAATATATTTATTTAATTATATATATATCTTCATTCTTCTTCTTCTTGAGTTAGTGCTATTACGCACTTTTACTCTATAATGGCTGGGGGGCTTATCTCTACCCCACACTAGGCTTTAACTAGGCTAAAAAAAAAACATCATTTATTTGTCTTTTAGTTGATGACGGACCTTAAATCAGCATATCTTCCTGAGAGTCCAGAAGTGGACTTGAGGATTGTTAGGGCGGGGTTAATTAGCGTATCAACTTTAGTGAATAATTTAGAGCTCTGTCTCTGATATATTTTTTCACTAAGTCATCCTAGATTCTATGTATGTCTGTTGATCTATATATACATGGAATCTTAAACAGTTTCTTAAAGCCAGGTTTTGAGCTATCTGTAATTGCTTTAAGGTAGTATTTGAGGCTTTGCTATATGTAACACATCCGTACAGTAGTGCAGGTCTAATTACTTGCGTATAAAGTTACTTTCTGTTTTTAAAGTTGAAGTGATAATTATTAAATAGCGGCTTTAATAAATGTAGAAGCTTAGAGCAGCTATTCCGTTTGTATTTCAAATGTTTAAGCCAATTGAACCGTTTGTCAAAAGTGAACCCCAGATATTTTATGTTATCCTCCCACTGTATCTCCGTGTCGCAAACACTCACTCTTGGAGGATGCTGTCTTCTTTTTCGTGTTATATATATATTGATTAAGAATTATATTAACAAATTAAAGACATATAAAAATTAAAAAATACACACATTCAAAGTAAACAGAACTTTTTACAAATATTATTTTTATTGAAGTTGAGGTATTTTGTGCAATGCAAACCATAATTCTATTGTGTCAACTTCACATTATCAGAGTACTTCTCTAAGTCCGATGTGCTCGATAAATATTGTACTATCGCATGTGAGTTTGAGATTGTTGGCCAGCATGCATTTCTTTTGTTATTGCATTAGTGCCAAGCAAACTCCAAGAATATGTTTTGAGACCTCATTCTCCTTTCTACAACACTACTAATTCAATTACAGCAAGTTCATCATTTTCTCGGATCTTAATTTAAACTACAGTCCCTAAAACTACTAATTGCTAATTGAGTTAATTTAGTTGAAAGATCCTATAAACAATTATTATTGTTAAAGCTTTGGTTAGTCGTCCCAATATAGTTTTCTCTTTTTCACCTCTCTTCCTTTTTATCCTTCACCACTTTACCGGAATTTCAAGCATGACCTGGAACCTATTGGATCCTTACTTGATTATTTGACCAAGAATATTTAGCTTTCAAGATACGACATCGGAGTGAATTTTTCCAAAAAAGTTATAAGTTGGGCACTAATTCAGTTGGATCTGGGAGGGGTTGGCCTTACTGATACATATAAGACCAAAACGTAGTCTCACTATAAGTAAACATTTTTAAAAAGTCTACTTTGCTTTCAAACATACGTTACGTATCTTCATTTTTTTTTTTTTGTAATTAAAGGTATCAAAAGAAAATAAAATATAATGTTTTAATTTCTATAAATCTTTAAATTATTTATATAAACCGTAATCAGTATAATAAATAATCATTAACAGTTAACTTTAAAAAATGTGCTAATATAATTAATATCTGAAAAACTTCACAAAATAATATTTTTTTTTTATTTTTTTTTTTTAATTAATTCAATTAGTTAAAATCTAATTCTGACTATTTTAAATCTATAAAACATATTAATAAAACTAAATATAAAATGGATATTAATATGATTAGTAATATATAAACAACCTGTGAAGCTTCTAGATGAGCCTATATGGTTAGCATAAATTTTTAAAATACAAGCAAAGGAAAGGATATATGAACATATAATTAAAATGCATATTATTAATAAACTAATGCAAAACTAACTTAAAATCTTTATTAGTACAAAACAAACACAAACCTCCAACGTGGTATCTTCAGGTTGCACAGATACTTTCCGTACTCCGGCATCGCCGTTTTCTTCGGTTGGTTTTTTGCTATCCACGCTTTCTTGATGTGAAAATTTGCGTTGTCTATAATACTGATGACGGCTAAAATAACGAAAGGAAAATCAACTATTTAATATTATAACAAATTAAAGAGGCTTCAATACACTTTAAATAGGTTCTAATACAAATTATCTATCATTTACACTCCTTTCAGCTACCTTCTACTTTCAAATTTTGGGTTTTGACATTATATTCAAGAATCAAAATCATTAAACAGATCCACGTATATAGTTTATTCGGGGCGATATATAAAATAGGTCGAAAACTAAGAAACTAATTTAATTATAGATAGACTGAAATTTTGTATCAGTGCGATGCGCCCATATATAGTCTATAAACTGCTATTAAATATTATATTTTCTCTACGAAGTCATACCTACATTTTAATTTTAAGGAATAAATTTTATATATTCGTACCTTTTTCGACGTTTTCTCTCGTGTATATTATCGTTAGGTTGATCATCATAACCTAAACTAGGTGGGGTAACAACGGCCTTCTTTTGACCAAACTGCACATGTTTTTCGTCAGCAGAATTATCCTAAATAATACAATTAACATTAATTTAAGTTGAAATATTGTTATAATATGAATTTGTTTACTGAATGATCTCCATGTCCTGCACGTTCAGAAACTAATGGACAATCTTCTGGAATGTCATCGTAATTTTGTTGATTCACAGGATCGTTTTGACTTTCATATTCTGAGTCTTCTTCAATATTAAGATCACCTTGGGTATTACGACGAACTAAAATAAATTTAAATAATTAAATTAATGCAACAAATACACAAATGAAAAATATTTAATAGATTTTGCACACTTGATTAAATTATTGAATAATAAGTTTACATACACATACAAATAGATGTAGAAAAAAATATCATAATAAAATATATTATATATAAATCAGTATTTATTATTATCATTATCAGTCAGTATATATTTTTAACTGTCAAGTAATTTGCATTTAAATAATAAATTAACTTACTATTTTTTTGTTTAAAAGAACCGATGGGAATACTCGAATCTTGAAATGTAGTTACATCAAATTTCTCTTTTTGTGTTGTAGGACCGGCGAAAACTTTTTCCATTTCCGAATCCAGTAGCACCTCGTTTGGGTCTTCATTTCCGGTGGACTAAAAATTTAGAAAATTTTGAAATTAATATAATTGAAATAAAAACATATTTTACTAAATGAATTGTAAGTTTTTGAAAAAATTGACAGAAAAAAAGTTGATAATATCAATTCTTTTTTATGATCTATATATACAAATATACATATTTAAGGAACAAGTGGAGCTATAATTAACATCAAAAAGTTGTGCAAATTTTACATTAAGACCGAAAAGTTTTCGGAAATTCTCATTTAAAATTCGCGCGCTGTATATTTTTCGATATTTTAA